GGTGTAGTGATTTCTCCGTAGTTGCGGATTATCACCCGTCGACAAAGTCGTGACACCGCCCAAGATGTTCAAGCGACGAACCCTCGGTCAGGTGATGTACGGAGACGCCAAGGTGCAAGGGACTCGACGGCGTCACCTCCGAGTTTTCAGCAAGTATCGGATACGGCCCTATGTCACTGAATCCAGGCTGTCCTTATTATTAATAATGGACTGGCCGGATTCGCATTCAGCGGACCATCTACGGTACGAACCCTCAGTGGCGGTTGGGATGAGTTCGCGGAATACTCAGCGACCTTTGGAAGACACGTTCACCGTCTGGGACAGGACGCGGACCGTTAAAGATGCTCATGCGACGGTGCAGACGACGCTTGGCATACCAGAAGATCCATAACGGATCATTGTTCACTTGATATTTGTATACTTGATTAGGACTTCTTATTAGGAATAGACCCGAAAGGGTAAGCTTAAATACAGAACAGAATTTCCACTCAAGCACACAGAGCGACGTCCGGCTTCAAGGTAAGCGTCAGGTCAAGCTTGTTTGAGTGTGTTATGCCTGTCGGTGAACTCGAAGCTCTGTAGCGAGGGTTCATCCGGCAAGGCCAAGAGACTGTGTGTATTGGCCGATTATTATCGGGAGGTTTTACGTGACGGCTTATTGTTGCCTATTTGCACGACTGGGAGTGCTTTAATTGCCTCCCCTTTATTTCTTCCAGCCGAGTGTTGAACACTCGGTGATCTCGTAAAAGGCTTACCCGTGCCTGGTACCCTTCCGCTGTTGGGACCACGAGGATTCAAAACACCTGCTAGCTTTGCTCGTGCTAGTAGCGTGTTCATATTTTACTGGTTGGCCTATATAAGTAGTTTACAAGGTCCAGTTTGTCCCGGTGCAAGGGCAGAACTGGGGTCTTCAGGTCCGCCCGAACGATCGTTTACTATCCTAGTAGACGTATTGTTGTGGGAACATCCTAACTACATTTGTAGCTAGAGTTCACGTGGGAATTCCAACACCACATATACGTAAATACACCGTCCAACTACGCATCAAGGTTCCAGATGAGCCGTCACTGCTTCGAGCAGATATTGTACGCACTTGCGCTCTCGGACAACAGTCAGCCGAACGATCCGTGGGATCCGATACGGCCCTTGATGCTAGGGTTCAATGATCGAAGAAAAACGCACGTTTCTCCTGGAAAGATTATAGACGTCGATGAGTGTATGAGCGCCTGGAAGGGACATGAAGCCAAATTCACACACGACGGCCTTCCTCACAAGACTAAAACCGCTCAAAAATCAGAAGGAAAAGAACCAGAGCTGAAGTCCCTCGCCGACGGAGACAGTGGCGTGCTTCTTAGTCTTGAATTGGTAGAAGGATCCGCTCGTCAACGTCAAAAACAGTACTTCAGTGAATTTGGAGAAGGAACTGCAGTTGTATTGCGATTAGTGGAGCAATACAAAGGAGCATGTCGTACCATAGTGGGTGATAGCGCTTTCGCTTCGGTAAAAACGCTTGTTCAATTAAAAAAAAGACTTGGTTTGTACGTCATGGGCATCGTAAAGACAGCAAGTGTCGAGTATCCAAAAGCCCATTTGAAAAAATGGGTAGAAACCGATCCGCTACGGGGCTCCTTCAAGGTCATGATGAGTTTTACTGAATCCGGTAAGCAATATATGCCTTGTGCTGGGCAGACCGTAAACACAAAATGCTGATATCAAATCGCGAAACTACCGTTGTCGGTACTGATAGTATTCGTGTCCGGCACCGAACTGTTATTTTAAGCGGAAAATCGGAGACACAACGATATGAAAAATGGGTTCCGCGGCCACAAATGGTAGAGTTGTTTTTTTTTTAGCAAGTTTTCGACGATTGATGTTCACGATCACCTTCGCCAGGGGGTCGCTTGCAATTGAGCGAGAGTGGATTACACAAACCTGGATACATAGAGTATTTGATAAAATACTTGGAATAGTGATTGTAGACGTCTACCAGATCTACCGCTACGAGGCTCGAGGGCATCATCACCTTGACAGGACAATTGTGAGCCCCAACGACTTTATGTCACAACTATCTCACCATATCATCTTTAACGAGCACGTGATGAAGCGATCACTGCGGTCTGGCTCCAAGTCTCAGGGGGTCGACAGGGTAACACGCGTTAGGCTCACTTACCTATTGTTTTTCTGACTTATTTGTGCCTTTTGATCACCAGCCTTCTCATACGCTGAAAACCTTTGGCGACCTCCCTCAATACGCTGAATCGCGTAAGGCAGGCAAACGAGTGCAGCGTCAGTGCAATTTATGCCACAAGAACTACTCCGACTACTGCGTTGAATGCTCCGATCTACAATTGCAGTCATTTTTCGGGGTGTGCGGCCCGAGATCGTAGCGCACGTGCTTCAGAGCACATTGCTCTACCTTCAATTTGAAGTTTCTTTTCACTAGCATACCTGGGGACATAAATTTGAAAAACAGGAGAGGAACAGTGCTACATACTAAAGAGCATGACGCGTACTACCAACTGCGCGGATGAAGTGCCCACGGAGTTTCCCGCCCCATCCAATAGACGCGATCAAGCCCGTGAACAAACGATGGAGCAAGAACATGATCGCATAATGCCGTCCCCCATCCCAGTTGAGCCAAAATACGCAGCTTAAGCTGGTCAGCGGAGGAGGTATTTTGTGTGTTTCTTAAGCTTATGATGTACACATTGTAACAGGACGTCAGTAACACCAGCAGGTGGTTGTGATGGACACCTTGAAGGAAGGCGACAAGATCGCCACCGTGCGTGTGAACGGTCGCGGGCTGAGAACGGTCTGCACTCGAATGGTAACGCGCGGCCACGGATCGCGAACGGTACCCACCAAGCAGTGCTGGTAAAGACAGTCTGATTAAAGACACATGTGACGTTTAAACAGTTTATACAGTTTTTACACCGGTGTAAGAGCTGTATTTACGTGATGCGCTGCGTAATTACCCTTCATTTTGCTAACTTGATTTAATTAAAGTAGCGAAAATGCTCATCCTTCCCATGGGTCTTCTATTCGGCATTTTACAGTGTAAAGAGCCCTTTGGGTACACTGTACCGTGCCTAATGCACCGTTTAAATACCAGTTGTACTTTAGACAGTCTTTTGAGGTGTTTGTACGCGTCTTTATGATCAGATGTATAAACACCCACGCCACCACCACACCAAGTGACGGAGCCTGTGGAGCCGGTGCGGGACCATTGGGTTCGCCGACGGTCTTGGGTGCCATGACGGCGAAGATCGAAATCAGCAGAAGCTGGCGTGTAGGCCGGTGAGTAGAGCTGTCGACGTCACGACCCCTAACACTGATTCGACCCCGGACGTCTGATCTTTTGCACTCGATGTCGCGTTTCACCACGTCGACACCCATACGATTCTCGTAGTGTTGATAGGTCGAAACTATGTGTGAGAGCCCAGTAATACACTGCCATTTTTCAGCTTGCTAACTGCCATAATTACCATGCGCATGACTCCCACTTCTAGGGAGATCCTCATGGATCTTGGCAAGCCACTAAGATCTACTTCGCGCCCAGCGCATTGTTCATTTTAGACCCATTCAGCGCCAATTTAGTTCAGCCAGATTGATTTGGCGCCAAATTTGTGCACCTGTTCGGACCAAATGTCAGGAAGCCCTCGTGTGCACGAAACCACGCTGAGCAGTAATTGATGCCTGGGCACTGCATATCCTGCCAATCCATACTTGCTGTTGTGCAACGTGCGTATCGGACGTTCTCAGAGGGCTTGTATCAATAGATGGATGGGAAGCTTCAAACGGCCATGGAGCGTGAACAGCGACGCCACTTTTGGTGAGGTTAGTCCCCATAAACAGCAGCACCTTAATGCGAAAGAGTGACTTATCAGTGATTGTCGAAGGGGTGTAGTTTTTTACGTCGTTTGTATTTCTGGACGTCGAGGCGTAAATTTTCGAATACACCCGACGTCGACAGCTCTACCGGTGAGTGCATTCTGGAACTGGCGGCCAAGGGCGCAAGTGGGTCAGAGAACACGGCGCCGTGCGAGCGTAGAAGCAGAGGAAGAGCGGTGGTTCGACAAGAACAGCCGAACGAACGAGGCGCTGAAGAAGCGTCACGAGAAGGGACGAGGACTCGGTGACAGACACGTTACTGAGTGGCCCTGCGGAGCGAACGAGTCGTCCAGTGAGTCGGATCCGGGAGCGACCTATAGTGACTAACCGTACGACTCAGCAAGCCGCAGAGGTCGTGAAATTGTCTCTGCCCATTAGTGGAGCAACGAGGAGCCGCACTAGCGAGGGCGTGCTGCGACTGCCATACGAACGGGGCTGCTCTCAGCGTTATATACGGTGGGATTAGTGTTCGGGCAGCGAACGAGGAGAACGAAGAGAATGGGGAGCCGTTGGGTAATCCGAGTATTGAAATTAATAAATAGGACTAAGTCCGGCTATTGAGTAGTGTCCCATACAGTGTTGGTACAAACGCGGAGGTTGTCGCGGTAATCCTCCGTAGGTCGGGGTCGTGTATCTAGCAGGCCGACGTAGGAACTTAGGTTTATCACGTAAATGTAAATTTGTTGTTGTATTATTGAGCACTTCTCTTGTAAGAAGGAAAATCACGACTGAGCTTCTGCCTAAAGCTCCCAGCTGAGCATTAGGCTCCTCACCTTTCTGTAAATTGCTCCCACGTAGAGGTCCAACGCAAATTCCCACCCTTGTCGACGGCCAGGCGTTCCACTTTAAGCTTGGAACGCCGCCGATTGGGCCGGAGGGCACAGCTGCTTGGACGTTACCTGCGACTTCTGCAGCAAGCAGATCTTCTGAACGCAGTCCGACAGAATGACGAGTCCTCCTTCTAGCTGTGTACCGTGACAATTCTCCCCGACTACCACTCGGTGTCCTCGCCGAGCCTCCTTGCCCGGCACGGGTTCCACGGTACCATCAGCCACTTCAGTGGGAACGCCTCCCTGAGGCGTTCCAGTATGTTCAGGACTCGCATTCTCGACCGGAGAAGGCGTTCCTTGACCCTTGATACCTCGCAACCGCGCCACGCTGACACGTTCGCGCTCTTCGCGTCATCCAATCCGTCCAGCGAGCCTATCCCAGCCTTGCTTGGCTCTCACTCTAAGCTCTCTTTCCTTGTCGACCCGAAGCCCTCAATAGTTGCGAATCAAATGGCTGTAACAGCCGACCATCCGTAGGGAGGCGTTCCCGTAGCAACACCACGTAGAGAACTCCACGAAGGCGTCCACAATTAACACTACCAATGTCACGCCCATCCAACCATGGAGCACCCCTTCGGTACCTTCATACATCATCCGTGGCACGTAGATCAGGATGGACAGGAGTAGCGTCGTCAACAGGTACCCACCGACGACGATGTCACCTACTCTGTCAGCGACAGCAACGGTAGCTTCCTTCGTAGCTCGTGCGTACCTTCCGGTGGTTGCCCGCAGTAGCCGTGCCGCTTCAGGCGAGAACAGGCACCAGGAGTGATGGAACGCCTCGCACCACTTCAAACAGAGGCGTCCCACGATCCCAAAGCGTTCCTCGTAATCCCTCAGCACAGCTATCGGAATCAGGAAGGCCAGGGTCAACAGGGACGTTGCGAGCTCTGACGGTGGCAAGGCGAGCGCGTACGCGTCGCGGGCCGCTCCTACAAACCGGTCGCCACACATGTAGTAGAAGAAGTAGACCGCTTGAACGTTGTATTCTAGGCCTGCCAGGAACGCCCACGAGACGTCCCGCAAAGGCGTGGTTATCACCCACGTTACGATGCCCACTACTGCACTGCCCACGACCTTCAGTTCGACGCCGTCCTCGACCCACGCTAGAGGAGACGTCCAGGCAACCCAATCACTCATAAGTCCTGACGATCTTCAAGTGGCAATCCCCATTCCCTGAAAGGCCGACCGTTCCTTTCTGGGTCACTTTCCATCAGACCGTTCCTTTCTCGGCGCCACTTCCCAAGGTCGCAGCCCGCACGCACGCCAAGGTCAGCCATCAAGCTGAAACTTTATTCCAGTAACTTCTCATTCCTCAATCTCCTCCATCGGGCCACACTCCTCTTCCTCGACACCTCGCTCCTTCGCCATGTCCACTCGGTTCACTTCCGCAGAGCGAAAGAAGATCCGTCAGTTCCTTGATGCGGCTCTGGAACTGGACGAGGTGGGCACGTTCGGCAGCGACGTCCGGGCCCTCAACGAGGCGTTCCTCGACGACCTGGTGTCGTGCCTCGGCGGCAACCCGCAGTCGTCGGGTCTAGACCACCTACAGCGACTGGCTCCAGACGTCCTCAACGGCGACGCGGCGGCCAATCTCCAGGGTCCTGTGGTTTTCCTCCCGTCCCTTCCAGGTTCGTCAACTTCCAGCGGGCCCCATCTTCGCCCAAGCTTCGAAAGAGTTCCAAGCGCAAGGCGAGTGAGGACTCGGCTACCAAGTCGCCGGCCAAGAAGAAGCGTTCCACTGGCAATGGCAAGAAGGCGGCCCACGTTCCCGCCGAGGACTTCAGCGACCTCCTTGAGTTGAGCTCTTAGGCCCCCGCTCCTGTTCGCAAGGCCATCCTAGCCGTTCTGGAGAATGCGGCCGAAGCCGGCAAGAAACCATGGTGCCTCGCGTTCCCTTGGTTGGGTAGGACGCTCTACTACGATCCCAAGATGTACCGGCACGTGCTCCGCGCTCATTGGCGGTTCTGGATGTCGAATCGTCGCGCCTTCTGGGAGTGGGCGCTCCACGCTCGACTCGAGCCCGGAACGGCTCAATCGAATCGGCGCAAGCTCAAGATGCGCGCCATCCAAGCTCGTATCGCCTTCACCAGCACGTGCATTGAGACCTGGGGTTTCTATGTCTTCATGGAGAAGTTGGACCAGCACCCCGAGATGTTCTGGTTGAGAGGGCAACCCGGTCGCTTTTCCCGCGAGGCTCGCAAGTACGATGGGCCGGTCGCGGACGCCTTAGCCATTCTTTGCGAGAAGGATCGGAAAAGATACGACGCCACCCTTGAGAACACCTTGGATCCCACCAAAAAAACGCCTACGAATACCCCAGCGTGCGCGTCTTCTTGGAGTCTACTGAAGCGCTAAACCCGGCTGCTGACGAGAAGAACCGTCTCACAATCGCAGCACTGGCACGCATCCGCAAGAACATCATGTCTAGCGTACGGCCCAAGGACGCTTGGGTCGAAGATCGGTCGGCCGAGCCCTGGAAGGCGATCGTCAACAGTTACACAGTCAAGCAGGGTCAATACCTGATAACGGCCCAGATCATCGAGGGCTCCTACGAGATCCCTTGTGTGGGCGCACCGACTCGCGCCGAGATCGAGTGCGATGATTGGTCCGACTTCGAAGACGGCGAAGAGGATGATCGTCTCCTGCAGCGAGCAAGAAAGTGG